TTTGCATGTGAAACAAAGTTATTAGTTGTGTTCGTCCGAAACTGTTAAAGTTTGGAAGGTTAGTATTTATTCTCTGCATCTCTTTGTAGTGGTCTCATGTGTTGATAGTCTCATGTGTTAATAGTGGTCCCTTTTTAGTTATTTGTAATTGATTAGTAAAAAAATTAGGTTTTCACCGTCTGGGTTGGGGAAAAATTTTACTAACCCATTACAAATAACTAAAAGGGGACCATTACCAACACATGAGACCACTACAAAGAGATACAGAGAATATAATACTAACCTTCCCAACTTTAACAGTTCTGAATGAACACAATTGATAACTTTGTTTCACATGTAAAGTACGATAATATTGAAATCGTCTCCTTCCACCTTGGACGAACTCGTTTGCAGATGGAGATGAAGCAAATGTTCTAGGGTTTCTTTGTTCAACGCAAAGAGATGCAAATGGTGATGGAGATGTTCTAACATGGTGAAGTTCAAAGGTTAATGAAGTTCATGTTTCTGAGGTTAATGAATTCCAAGGGTTACTAAATCTAATCAGGCGATTTGGCTTTGATAAAATCCACGTGTATAAAAAATTTAATGAGAAATACTTAAATAATACAGATGTACATGACATGTCAACATTTTTGCTGTTATGGTTTAATGAATATCTAAATCCAAAGAATCTTGAAATTGCAAGGACAAAATCTTGATTTTTTTACGAGGTGATTTTCCAAAGCTTGTCCATATGGCAGACGAATATGCCTATTAACCCAAGATTAAATAACTAAGGTACGAGATCACAAGCGAGCTTTCAGAAACTTCAGTTCCTTTGATGTTGTTCTTAGAATTTGAGTTTATTTGTACCAACATCGGAGCCTTCTCGATTTTTAATTTACTTCCATCTTTTTTCTTCATTTGATGATGCTTATGCTAGTTTTGCTTTAATTTGTTTGTCATCATCAAAACTCGTTATACTTGTTAAGCACATTATATAACTAAAGTTTTTGGTAAGAATTTTATACACGCCAGTAAATGTGTGCTCTTTACACGCCATCAGAAGCTCGTATTTTAGGTAGGTGACATGGTAAAGACTATGGTAGTCGACATAAACTATTTCTCAATTGAGGTTAAGATCTTTGAATCACTATTTTATTTATCTCGCTTGAGTATCGTCACAACCAATAAAAAGTGTGAAGAAATAACATTGGAAACTTGCAACATCACATCACTAAAGAAGACTTTCAGCTTAAATCTCAAGTCGACTCAAGATCTTTTGATGAAGTTCTCAATTATTAGCTCACCACAAGAACTAATGAACTTACTAGATCAACTCTAATTATTAAGTACCAATTTCATGGTGCAAAATGACATTTTCCATAACAATAAAGGTGAAGTTGGGATGGAATAATGAGGATCACTTATAACTTTAGAAATTTTCAAAGGGATATAGAGTAACCAAGATTAATGGATTTTTAAATCAGAAACTATACAATCAATTGTTTAGGAGTATAAAATGAGTGATGGTAAGATAAAATAAAGATATAAATTTTTGTTAGTCAAATATTAAATAATGCCAGGTTTATATTCACATGTACTAAGTAGTTAGGTTTATCTTTGTATTAACTTATACGAAGAATGTCATATTATTTAAATGAAATTGAGTCTTGTATTAAGATTAATATAGTTACTTGATAAACATATTTTGTAAGCATCGATCAACATGCGTTTTATTCTAACAAACCAGAAGTCCAAAGCTCTATAACAAAATATAAATTTGTCGTTACGAACCAACCTAAAACTCACAAGAGATAAAACATAGTTAAGGTATTTCTTAACGACCCATAAAGGAAGACTTTAGAGAACTATCTCACCAACTAAGAAGATTAAAAATCCTAAATTTGGAGAAATGGTATCCATATTAGATAATATCATCATCATGGATGAGGCCACAATAAATAAATTCATCGTCCAATTAACATTTTTTTGAGAATAGATAAGTATAGACATTAATTTGAAGAGTTAAATATATTTATAGTCTTTATAAATATTTTAATTTTAGATTTTTAAAATATTTTTTTTAAAGAATAGACCTCTTAAAATTTTTAATTCATATTTTTGGTCTTTTCTGCAATTTAACGACGATTTTTATAACTTAGCGACAAAATTAACGACGGTTTTAGCGATAATTTTTAATTCGGCGACTGAATTAGTGACAATTTTAGTATTAAAGACCAAAAGTATGGATGAGAAATTTTAAGAGAATCATTCTTTAAAGAAATTTCTTTTAAAAATTAAAAATGAATTTTAAAATATCTATGAGGATCATAAAAATATTTAACTCTTAATTAAAAATGTTAAATAATAAAAAAATAAATTCTATTAATTATCTTTAAATTGATATCCATAGTCAACTACCTATCTAACAAACATATAGCATAAAGGATAACATTTGTACATCATGTGCCACCTAGTTCATCTCATCATAAATTCATGCCCTTTTCTTATCTTAGAAACACTAAACAATCCTTAAAGAGATTTATGTCATTGAAAAGATATATTTTTCTCTTATGTTATAATTAAGTATGTCATCTTGAGTCTTGTCTTATTCACTTGTAACATTTACATCTTGTCTAGATATTGTGAGGCAAATTTGAGTTTCTCTTTAAAGAATAGGTATCTTTGTGAGAGATGGTTTAATTGAGAAAATGTGTGGCATTTAATTTTGCTCATGTTGGTTTTTTTTAGAAAATCTGGTCTAACTTTTTTTTCGTTATGCATGTCTTGACATGTGAAACCTTTTCGATTTCTTGCAATTGTTGTGCTGCCAGACAAGTTATTTGTGCCCTTGATTTTTTCTTATAAAAGGTTTTTGCAGACAGGGATCCACGTTAGTGTCTTTGAAGGCAGCAGCTCCCACTTAATTATTTATAATGTTAAAAGAATTTCAATAATTGTATTTTTTACTTAATTAAAATTCAAATGTTGTTCCCATAAAAAAATTCAATATTTTTAAGACTTTAATAGTTATATATTAATAGTGTAATAAAATTTTCTAATATAATCTAATAAAATATATCATTCTATCATATTATATAAATAATTTAAAATTTTTAATTTGATTTGACGAAATAGATGATCGTGATTAATTAACAATATAAAATTAATTTATACTTTTGATGTATCATTCATTTCTCTATTTTAAAAAATAATAATTTTAAAATTTTAAAATATAAAAATTTTTAAAAAATATTTCTTAAATATTAAATATGTCTTATATTATATATATAAAATAACATAATTTTGATAGTGTCTAAATTTTTTACTTAATAAATATTATATATTTATTTTATCATTTTTACAATTATATATATATATATATATATATATATATATATATATATATATATATATATATATATATATATATATATATATATATATATATATATATATATATATATATATATATATATATATATATATATATATATATATATATATATATATATATATATATATATATATAATTCCACAAACTAAAATTTTTGAATCCTTTTTGTTAGTTTTTCATAAAGACCTATTCCTCTTCCTCTTATTTCAGAGCATTATGGATTGATAGAGTCTTAATTCCAATCATTGGGGAGCCAATAGTGGTTCTACATCAAGGAGGCTAGGCGTGATCTTACACCAGAGAAAGACATCATTGTTAACACTTGTCAACAAGTAACTAGGGAGTCTAAATAAATGTAACCTGACAAACTTAAGTCATCAACATAAAGTTTGATTGTGTCAAATATTTCTCACTAATTCCAATCTTAACATTTATCACTAATTCCAATCTTAACATTTAGTTGTCTTCATCCCAGCTACACAGGAAAAGTAGTCGGTTGTTGAATGGATAAAAACCTCTTAATCTCACAAAGTGAAATGAGACGAAAATATTGGGATGAAACAATGTTTCTCTAAGGGTACAACCAGCAAATGGAATATATGAAGCTCATGAAGTGGAGCAAGTTTTGATTTTGAAATTGATTTTTCAAACAATAAACTAAAAACTCAACCATCCCCAAACGACCCTTTTGCAAAAATATTTTGTTTTCATTTTGAAAAATATTTATTAATTTTAACTTTTAAATAAAAAAATGTGAAAATTTTACATGAAGTATTGAGTACAGAACATGCAAGGATGGTTAAATAATACAATTTTAGAATTTTTAAAAAATATTTTCATTGGAAAAAAAGTTAAATTATATTTTTGGTCTCCCTATTTTGCTTGATTCACAAAATCAGTCTCTCTATTTTAAATTTAAACAGTTTTAATCCCTCTATTTTAAATTCAAACAGTTTGAATCTCCCTCTTAAATTTTTTTTCATAAAAAGTAGATAAAAATTACGTTTTTTAATTGATATTTTTATATATAAAGTTCAATAATAGGTTTATAAATTAACGCTTTTTCTTCTACTATGCAATGATAAATGATTGAATTTATGCACAATATCGGTATCCTATGATTTCCCTCTTGCATTTTCTCCCCACTTCTTTGTATATCTGTAGAGATGTTCACCAATATAATATTTAGCAAATGTGGAGACGAGCATTGCAAATGTGAAAATACCAACATCACAAGCAACAAGACAAGCAAGATGCATTGGTCCAAATACCAATCATAAACTGGAAAACTCTACAATTTACACTGTAAATCAGTGAATCATGGAAGTAATCATATGCTATCAAAGTAGTAACCAATTTATTACAGCTGAATTCTCTTACTACATGAGGGGGGAGTTACCGTAAAAATATGTGGTGAAAAGGTAGTAAATGATAGATGGTAGTAGCCAATGAATTTTCCAGTCTACCCCAAACAATAATGAAGCAAACAGATCAATCCGCCTCTGGTCTACCAAAGATGTACCAGTGACTAACTATTACGAAGGTCTATAGTTTGGTATATTTCTTTACAAAATATACAGGCATGCTTAATTAAGGTAAGATGATATCATAAGCTTGCAGATCAATGCTCTTGCTTAACTCTCGCCTTTAATATTCCAGGGAGTGGAGGTGATGTGGGAGGCCTAACTGACAAGTTTGAAACTGAAGGAGGAACCTGTGACTGATACATGCCCGACATGCTAGAACCTTCCCCTCCATTCATGACATTGTGTGTGACATTGTCACTCTGCGGTCTCTCACTCTCGCAAAAATTCATTGCTTTGAGAACATAATTGTCGTCATGCAGCTCAAAAGGAGAACTGCAGAGATTAAACATATATAAAAAGTGGCATATACATTTTCCAACACATGGATAAAAGCATCACATCGGCAGCAACTACCTTCCAAAACTCACCTTCAAAAATTTTTTAGTGGCATGAGTGTTTGACTACAATAAGATACACTAGTTTCCACTTTCCGGATATTATGATACCACAAATTAGGGTGTCTTCACATTAAGACAGCATAAAAGCCTAAAGCTAATCACCTCATAACTCATAAAGAATGCCAAGTAAGGAAAGTTAAGCTTTACCTGTTGAAATCAAAATGAACAAGCTGCATGTCTTCTGATATTTCCACTTCAACAGTTGCATGAGGACGTGTCTATAGATTTTAAAAGTAAGAGATTAATCAAATAGCAATACCATTGGGCATTCGTTTAAACTTGTCGACTGAAAGTAACTGTTATAGTGTGTGTGTAGCAGTTACTTTCAGTCAGACAAAATTCAAACGAATGCCCAAAAAAATGGTAAAAATGTGTTTCTAGTGAATTCACTAACCAGCTAGATAAGATCTAATCTCACAATAATATCTAATAATTAAAAAATTTATAAATAAAAAATCATGCCAGCTACTTAAGTTCATGTAACATGCTCAGTTGTGAGTTGATATCAACGTAATATAATTATCGCACAATAGAAGATCCAAAGCATAATTGAACAGAGTGTTTTTTTACTAGACAAATGGCCAAAACGGAAGATATTGAGATGATGGCATACCTGTACGAGAATAAAAGGTAAAGATACACCTCCACTGGGAGGATTTCCTGAGCTACATAATTGCTCATTTCTTTGAATGAGTTTTTGAAGACCTACAAACTTGATATAATAATAGAAGCAGTTAGCAACCAGAAACTGAACTATACAAAAATGACGTAATTTGCTAGAATCTTCTTATAATCAGGTGCACACTTCAAAAGCACCAATCCAGGTCCAAGATCTTATTCCTTTATTAAATGTATTAGAGTAGGCCGGACTTACTTGCTCCTCAAGCTCCTGCAGATAGGCTGTTTTCCTTTCAATCCTGTTCCTGAGCCCAAGACGCTCTGTCTATTTAATCAAGTTAATGAGTAAAATAATCCTTCATTGCATTTTAGGATTAGCTCAGAACATCACTGCAGTTAAAGCATATAAGCCACAGAGCAAAAAAGTTACAGCTCAAGACTGTGGGCAAACCTTTAGTTCTTCAATATCATTCAAACTGGTACGAGGAAGACCCTTCCATTGTATTTCCTTTTTATCCTTGGATATAATATCCATAGCCATGAGAACATTCAGAGCATCATAGACCCTTCGACGGATGTTTTTTTCATCATATTGTTGCTGAAAATTTTTCATTCCCCCACAGAATTAGCCCACAATACTTATCTTATACCTTTAATATGTAAGCAGAAAATAATTTTTAAATTGTTAGTGAAGGTAAGAAAACCTGATCAGGGGTCAAAACACTATTGCTTGGATCAGAAAACTCAGCCACAAGTTCATCTGCCACCTATATTATTAAAAAATTAGAAAAAAAAATGGAAATAAGGAATAATAACCAGTATAAAAAGAGATAGATAATATAAATGAACGGTAAAACATGTCATGAGGGGGAAGCAGGCTTCAAGTCCACAACAAGTTCCTGATGCCAATAATTACCACAAGCAGTTTTATCCCCAAAAAAATCAAGCATCATCATTGACAGAAATATTTTAAAAAATAATTGAAGGTACCAATTTTATTCTATGATATACATTAACCCTTAGTAATTAGTTTAACTTTCCAACATGTATGTACTTATAGAATCATTTATTTAATCTGTTTAAAAGATTTTATATTTCAGAATAACGGTCATCCTCGTATAGCATTTTTTGAGTCGGCTTCTCCACTTTGCTATCCATGATTGAGAAATATGCTTTTAAAATTAAAAAAAAAATGGTTTAAGTAAAGTCCTAACCTCATTGTAAGTTGTTCTTCCTCTACTTTCTACCTTCTCACACACTGCAGACAATCAACAATAAATAAGAGGCAAAACCTAAAAGAAAATTGTCAAAATGACCTAAAAAGGTCCGTCTAATTAACACAAGAACCGCTGCTGCAAGTTTCACAATTAGAATCCCAACACTCGGCATACTAAGAGGATAATTGAGTAAACAGATTGGTAAAAGTGTTATTTCAATAAGTGTTTATCATCCAAGAGCTTATATCTAAGCTCTTTCTACAATTGAAAAGAAAACTAGCATAAACCATATGCTTAGTAAGTTGCTTCAATAAGTTATTGTGAAGAGCTTATGATATTTAATAAGGTACTTTCATAAACTCTTCCAAACACTTACAAGCATGTCACAATTTCAAATTAGCCTCCTAAATGCAACTTTGCAAGGATAAAGTAAATAACCAGTTAAAAGTTAATGAAACTATACATACATTAAAGAACAAAGTGGTCAACCAAAATAGATCACAAACCTTTCATACTAAATTGGCGAAGCCCTCTTCCACTCTTATCACCTCCAACAGCTCGTTGGCCTCTCTTTTTCTTCTTGCTACTGCTTAAACAATGAGTAGTTGAGAATCAATTTAAACTAATAGTAACGAATAAAAAAAACATTAGACTAATTGTAAACCTACCGATCATAGTAGATAAAATTGAAACTAGAAAGCTATGTAGGCACCGACACCTCCGAAGAAATGTGTGTCCGTTTCCGTGTCGGAACTAACACTGGCACCAATGATTACCTTTAATTTATTCATTTTTTTTCCTTCAAATTATTACCGGTGTCACCGTGTCAGTGTCGTGTTCGAGGTGTCAGGGCTTCATAAACTTTGAAGTACTGTAAAGCCAATTTCAAGCACAGTATGCCACTTCAAAGCATTTACACTTAGTTGAACACACGTGACGAACAACAAGTACACAAAAAATCACCAACATTTTATCCAAGCTAGACCAAACATAAAATCCGCAGGTAAATAGCAACTTGCATCACATCACATAATACATTCAATCTAGAAAGTGCAAAGTTTAGAAAAGACTCACGCAACTGCTCCCTGTGATGCAGCATCATCATCCTGTATGTCAAGATGGTTTAATTTGAGAGCAGCGTTATCACCGGCGGTAGTCCCCAACCCAGCACTCCGGCTAGTCGAGCCTGATTGGCCCGAAATCGTAGTTCCACAGCCGAGCAGTTCCTCATCCTCCTCGTCTACACGCGATTGCTGCGGCCGCGTTCCCATCTACCATGTAACAACTTCGGCAACAAATTCAGAATGATAAGAAGAAAAATGGATGATACAATTCAAGCGCGGTTTCGATTTGGAAGCTAAAACGATCGAACACGAAATGAGAAATAACCCTAGGGCACGCAATGTGAAAACAAAATTGAAGAATGCAAAGAGAGGGAAAGGACGGCGAGTAGTGATGGAGCGATGGCGACGGTTATCGGCGAGGGAAAGAGTAGATCTTGGGAGAGCGGGGGTTTGTTCAGTAGCGGCACAAAATACGATTACGGTTTCTTTTCGCTCCTAAATTCATGCCTATCGTACGAAAATACTCATAAGCTTGGAGTAAAAAAATGCGCAACTGTACGAAGTACATATAAAATGAAAAATATTCGTGTCTTTGGATTACATAGAGACTATTGATACATGTCTCAAAATAGATTGGTTGTCATGTAGTATGTGTTTGATTTGGAATTTGGATGATGGTCTTTGGCTGATCTTTGAAAGTATTTACAAATACTTTGATGTTCAAAGTTAGTATAGGTCCTAAGATTTTAGAGGTAAAAAGAAAATCTAATTTAAGTGGTGAAGTTGTTAAGTTTATATAACTTTGAGGTTGTGATATTGAGTTTGGATGCTCGAAAATTGCAAAAATCTTTATTCTGAAAGAGTAGTCTTAAACTTAATTAACTGGTCATGTAATGGTTTGAGTTATGTGTCTTATGGGAGTCGCGGATTGTAGATAGAGTTAAGTAATAGTTTAAATTAGATGTTTGTAGATTAGAGATATTTTGTTGAGATTGTTGTTAATTAAATATGTTAGATTGATGATTGGTTTGAAGACAAAGTTCTCTTATGAACATAGTTGTTGTTTTTTTTCCGCTTTAATGTGTTTTGTTTATGTGTTGATGTCACAAATGATGCATTAATATTTAAGGTTGAGTTTCAATCATGATTTTTCTTTCTATGTGCCTCGTTTTATCGACATCAAAGTGTCTCGAAGAATAAGTCGTTTTTTACCGTTAAATTTGACAAACAAAAACAAGTTTTATTTCACTTAAGGTATTAAATTCAAAAAGATCTCAAAACATATTGTGTGAAAATCATAAGTTTAAAACATGTTTAACACTAAAGTTGAAATTAAAAGAAATTTAAAAATGACTGAAATAAAATTCAATGCAATAGATGACTTGAAAATAAAGACTTTAATTCATAATATGGAATGCAAATGCATACATTCTCACAATTATTTTCTCACCAAACACGGATACTTCTAGTTTATAGAATTTGTGTATAATTGTGGACCCTTAAAATTATAAGTGAACACTACTTAAATATTAGTCCTAACATAAGCATCTACAACAGTCAACTAGGCAAATTATGCCATATTTTCGTCTCCAATGCAAACTTCATTCTTGACAGACTTCCGCGTGTTCTCAGATAACTGTTTGATTTTATCCGCTTACACCTCGTTTCGACCGCATGGAGAATAACAACACTTTAAAAACTCTAAATTTCACTTAAGTCCCAAAACTAACAAAATCCTTAGTCTTTAACCAACTGCTTAGAAATTAGACCAAAGTTGACACCATCTTTCGACAAGACAAGTTCGTCGAAATGCATGTTATAATTCCATGGTAATATCTAACCACTTCGACCTAGCTAATAAACTCAAATCATCAAAAAAAAATTAAAAACTTGTCAAATCCTTATAATTAAAGCTTGTGTCAAAAACTGAGGTAATAAATTGCCACCCCCCCCCCCCCCCCAAATGCCATGTTTTGACTTTTCCTTTAATCAAAAAAGAGAAAAATGACATCTGTAAAATTATTTTCGACATTGTTCAAACCCTTTCACTGACATCAGTGTCATCATTACAAACTTTAATGCAAATTGTCATTTCCAAAGGATTTCTTCAAAATTTCATCATTACTCCTATTTTTTAGAAGATCGTGGGTTTGCACGATTTATTAACTTCTATCAACTATCCCATTTCCTGAGAAAATAAAGTGTCTCAACTTAACACGTGTTTCCCATGTGTTTGCCATTGGAGGATGACCACTTCTATAAAGACTCATTTCATACTCTTTTTCAATCTTCTTCACTCACGTTTCACAATCAACATTTTACATAAAGAAAGGACCTTTTTTTCTTGCATCAAGCTTCCCAAAACTCAAACATGGCAACTTCCACTTCAACTCTAAAAAATAGACACCGAAAAAAATCCATTGGTATTCATGATTTCGGCATCAAAAGATGACAAGGGGAGAAATTTTGTACTTGAACCACCATTGGACAAAGATAAAATTATCATCTGGGCTAAATATGTACTCATTCCATTCTCCCTCTCTAATAAAATCTTGGCGTCCTTAGGTCTACTTCCAACGGCTAAGTCACACCCTATGAAGGTTAAAAACTTCTTCGTATGCTACCATGTAGCCATGCCTTCTGCGTTTGAAAAATGCTCTTTCAACCTAACCTTCATGGAAACGCCTACGCGTGTTTTTTGATCAGTGCCCCCATCCCAAAATAAGGACTATATCACGTGGCTTGACATGGTCTAAAACAAAAGGAAAAAACAATGGAAAGACCTAGGTATCTTCGACGTAACCCAAATATATAGAATCGGCCCTAAGTATAACCCTTCCATGTTGCTTGCATTGATCTCCTTTTGGGAAAGTTCAACGAACACCTTTCAATTGCCTTGTGGAATACTCACACCGACCTTATTCGATGTAGCAATTATCACGGGATTTAGACCTACATATGAAACCTTCACCCCCATAATATAAATTATGAATGAGTTCATTTTCAAACGATTTACATTAAAAAGATTACATCACCGACCACCATAAGAAAAACACTGAGGAGGTCTTCGACCAACATCATATTGTATTCTTGACCCTTTGACTTTTTTATTATCTCTTTTGCTCAAACTCTTTACAGATAGCCAAAAAATATGTCCCTTTAGCAATTCAACTTCATGAGGGTCGAAAGGTTTCTCTTGGAAAATTACTTTTATCCATTTTGTATCAATTGATAGGTAGTGCTTCCTACAAACTAAAACACCTCTCGGAAACCAACAAAACATACCTTTTTTTATCCCCTTGTGTCTTTTACAACTTTGGTTGAATGCCACATTCAAACTAAAGCTACAGATAACCATCTCGCAAGCTTTGATGGAAGAGAACAATTGCAGAAGCATCGAAGACACGAGACTTGCCTAACTACCCCATATGATACTCCTCCAGAAATAACTTTCATGGAGTAAATTGACATGTTCCTCAAATAAAAAACATTTTTTCTACTATGGCCCCTTTTGTGGATAGATGTGTTAGCCAAACCTAGTTTCGAAACAGGTTTCTTGGTGTAACTCCCTCTGCTGCAATGTTGAATTATGTGTTGGGAAACCTTTTTAACTCCTACTGTAACACCCCAAATTTAATCGGAATATTTTAATTAATTGATTTAATTGAGAATATTTGATTTCGGTGTTTTTCGGTGGCTTTGTGAATTAGCGAGGAATTATGCTTTGTGGAGTATTTATTTTGGAATAATAGTATGTAATATTGATTTATTAATATTATTGTGAATTAAAATAAATATAAGAGGAATAAGGGTAATTTGGGCATTTTGAGGAGTTAGTAAGGGTAATGAGGGAAAAGCTCAATTTGTGAGGCCAAAGACTAAGTTGGACAAAATAGAATTCTGAAGAGATTTAGAATTCAATTGTTAACCGTGAGAAGTTTGGTGGCCAGAGCTCTGAAGAAAAGGTTGGAAGCAGAAGGTTCCTAAAGTCAATCGTGAAAGTTTTGAATCGGCTAAGGTATGAGGAGTATCGTTGTTCATGATTTTCTATATATGTCTTTAGATGTGTTTATGATTGGTTTATGATTTAAGGTATTTTGGGTTGGTTGTGGAAAAATAGGGAATTTGATGATAAGGCTTTGAGATTATGGGTAATGGTATGTAACACTAAATATTGATATGAGAAAGGAAAACCTTAGGCCTTCTTGGCCAAAAACTTGGATCGTTATATGTTTGACCCTGTAGGAATAGGAATGTTCAAATGTGAGTAACTCTGATGCACTCAGAGCAATTGCAGGAAAATAGTGATTTAGGCAGTGCAAATGTTGGCATATTGGCCTAATAAACCATAGATTTTGTGTCGTTATCGCCGTATGACCTTAAGGATGATTTAGGGATGTTTTGGGGGCATTGGGTAAGTGAATTGTATGAGTATTTGGGCAAGAAACAGTTCTGGTCGTAACGGGTTTTACTGTCATCGCATTGTTCGCCTAGCGAGCATACCAGCGAAGACTCGCCACAGACTCGCCTAGCGAGCATGCTAGCGAAGACTCGCTACCGACTCACCTAGCGAGCAAGCCAGCGAACGTAACAAAGTTCGCGAAAGTTGATCGTGTTGCAGCAATGCCTTGATGTTTGATTTGGGGATTTCTAGGATGGATTACCATGAGTATGGCAGTGAGGAACTATGTGATTAATAGGCGATAGTGTGAGGATTTTCGCGAGTATAATTGATGAATGAATATGAGATGATATGGGTAGTATTATGAATTAATATATGATAATATGTGATAATATGATGGGCTAACATGAGGATGACTATGAGCTAATATGTGATTGATATGTGATTATTATGATGAATTATATGATGAATTATGTGATGATGATGATTATTATGATGAATTATGTGATAACATGAGATATGATGAATTATGTGATGATGATGATTATTATGATGAATTATGTGATAACATGAGATATGATGATTTATGTGATGACGATGTTTATTATGATGAGTGATGTGAAATATGACGATTTATGTGATGATGATGACCATGTGGATGAGTTAAGACGTTTGATGAATATGATGAATATGACGAATATGATGAATGATGATGCACCTGTGATGTTATTATGAGGATTATTGTGATGTGTGCATCATGCATTCATATGCATCCGGACTTCGGTTCAGGACCTCGATTACTTTG